ATAAATTCCACAAGGGCAGAGATTATTGTTATCTTTTTGTTTACTACTATACACCCAGTGCCTAGAAGAGTGTTTTGCACTTACTAGACATTCAGTAAATGTTTAAGATAATAATATTGGGAGTGGTGGTAATAACAATGAAAAGTGTTGAGTCTTTTGAATTGAAGTATTCATAGGGTTGTGTGTGTGCATGTGTGTGTGTATACACATGGACATACAAACAGATGACTCCGTTTTAGATCTAAGAAACAGCTATCTTTAATTTTGAAATGTCATTGTGTGTCTTCAGTTTCAGTGGTTGAGAGTTTTGAAGCATCCTGATCTTTGCCAGATACATAAGTATCTTAGCACCATCAGATGAAGTAGATTTTCTTGTGATCAGATGTTCCGCTAAGTAAATTGGGATGCACATTGTTAAGTCAGGCAGCTCAACAAGCTGTGACACATAAACCTTTCAGAAAAAATTGTATGTCATGGAAATGTATGGGCATAGACTTTGGAATGAAGAGGCCTGGATAAGTTCCTGGCTCTGCCTCTGGCTAGTTCCCTAATTGGGAAAGCCATTTTGTCTTTCTGAAATTGGGAGTAATATCTTTTTTTAAGAGGGTGCAGGGATATTTAAGAGCAAATGTATGTAATGCAAGACATATCAAGTACTCAAGACATACCATAAGTGTCATAAGTACTCAAATAGAACTCTTTCTGCTGTTGGGATTATCATCATCTTTATTATCATCATATTTGGACATCTGTGTTGGGCCAGAATTGCTCTTAACAACCACAGGCAATTGTTATAATAAAGTCAGCTTCTGAAAGTGGTAGTACTCAGCCTTTTCCACTGTGATCTTAAGGCCTGCATAGGCACTAGAATAGGCGGTACCTATTTATTTTGAATAGTATACGATGTTTTCTAAAAGACTCAACCTCAACCAATAAAAGATATTTATTGTCTAATTATTGAGATGACTCCAGACTACTTTTGGTAAGGTCTTCAATGATCCCGAATTAACAAATCCATGAATTTGAATTTTTCTCTTTGAGGCTACTGGTAGAAGTTACTTACCTTGGGGATTTCACATCCAGCAATCCAGAGTGTAGCTTAACTAGATATTGTTCTCTGTTTATCATGTATATCTGCTAGTATGTGGGGTTTGTTGAAAGGTCTTCAGGAAACATGTGTAAGAGGAATGCATCAAGTTAAAACAGTGCATGAAGACTATTTGTACTTGACTCTATCATTGCCACTCACCCACCAGTTAAGTATTTTTTGTTTGGGCAAGTATCCCTTTAGAGTGCTTGTTACACTGTATTGTAACTTCATTTGTGTGCCACTCCACTCCTTTAAGAGATCTTGGGAGTGTAGAGGTTGCGTCTTACTCATTTTTATCCCCAGTGCCTAGCTTAGTCCCTGGAAAGAACAGGTCAGTAAATGTTTGTTCAGTTACTGAGCAAACAGGCATTAGGTCAGCCCTGACTAAAGTCATTTCACAGTGACTAAACTGAGGGGGAAAAAGGGAGTGGAGTGGGGTGGGGTTGTGGAGTGGGATGGGGGACAGGGTGGGGAGGGGGAGGGTAGGAGTAGTGGGGGTGTCAGAGTTTGCAGAAAGAACGGTCATGTTCTTTAATATATCCAGAGGCTGGCAGAAGTATTCAGTAAAAGGTATTTGAATGGATGAATGAAGAGAGAAGGCTCTAGTCCTTGAATATTTAAACTGGATGAGATATTTTTTGAAATGGACACTCACCCTTGTTGCCTAGAACTAAAACCCTGAATAGTGATCCCTTTCCATTTCCATTTTTCATTGCTAAGCTGCAGGGAGTTTGGTAGCTGCCTTTCAGCTCTCTCCACCAAACCTTCTAACTGCGGTGAGACTGCTGCCCTGGCCATGAGTCCGTCTCTTCTGTCATTCTGTCCCAACTGCCTTTGGTCTCTAACATCCCCTCACCGTGGCAGCTTCCCATCTGTGCAAGTCTGTTCCCATCTCAGGGACTTGGTTGTTCTCTCAGTGTAAGGCTGAGCCGTGAGCTCCCTGATGTTGGCAGTGTCTGTTACGGAGAATGGAACCCCTCCCTCTCTCCCCTCCCAGCCACACACCACTAGGTCACTTGTTCCCCAGAGCTCTACTTCACTTTAGCCTGCAGCCTTCCTACTATACTGGGGTTTGGTAAGCCTTCTGGTAAATGGGACCAGACTGATCTCGGAAGCTGAGCAGGGTCGGGCCTGGTTAGTATTTGGATGGGGGACCAGACTTTTAAAGTGTTTTCTGCTGTTTATATAGTAAAAGCAAAAATAGTGCTCTTTGTTGCTAATAAAAATTTGTCTGTGATGGAGTATTTCTCTCAGGTGTTTGGGTTAATACCTTTAACATTAATGTGCAGTGTTTGAGTCAATACCTTTAACATTAATGTGCAGTGTTTAGAAAGGTTATAAGGAAATGAGATCGAGAAGAATTAGTACTGTTTACCCTATTTGATGTGACTTGTAAAGGATTGAAGACAACTTTTTTGTTTTGTTTTGTTTTTTCCTTTGGGAAATAAATGCATGTGAATGAAAAGTCCCAAATTAGAATTTGGATGTCTTTGTTCCAGTTTTCATTCACTCAGTATTCTTGTTGGAAGAGGAGACTATCAAAAGGGACATACCAGTTAAGTAATAAGTTTCCAATTGTGATAGACACATTATTTATGGATATTTTCTCTAAGGAAATGTAAATGTTAGAACCAATCGTGAAAGAGATGGTATCAGGTACTGCACATTCCTAAGAGTACTTTTTTTTTTTTTTTTTTAAGAATTTTTATTTTTGGGGCACCTGGGTGGCTCAATCGTTAAAGCAACTGCCTTCGGCTCAGGTCATGATCCCAAGGTCCTGGGATCGAGCCCCACATTGGGCTCCCTGCTCAGCGGGGAGCCTGCTTCTGCCTCTCCC